GTGTGTGTGTGTGTGTGTGTGTGTGTGTGTGTGTGTGTGTGTGTGTGTGTGTGTGTGTGTGTGTGTGTGTGTGAAATCAACGTTTATTGACATTTACCAATAAAATCTAATTCTTCCAAGCCTCTCTATTATCAATAAGTTATAGATGTCAATTACTATTTCATGAGTAGAGGACATGTATTGGAGCCTACAAAATAAGGAAATAAAGGCAATTGCAGGGTTCAAGGTCAAAGAGAATTGGGAAATGACTAATCTTCTCCCTTTGCTTTTGGTATGATCACCATGCTAGATTCCAACAAGCAGGATATTGTAAGTTCCTTTTGTGAGGGAATCCAACCTTCAAAATGTATTTTATCAGTACATCTAGACTGAGCGCTATACTACTGCAGAGCTAATTTTTGGACACATTCTCAGTAAACACCTGTCTTGATTTCTAGAACTGTCGCAATTTATGAACAGTGATCAGACACCGTTGTAAAAAATGCATAATAACTGCTTACTCTGAATAATGTACAAGCAAAAAAATAGAAGCAAAAGTTTACTGGACAAAACAATGTTTAAACAGCTCTAGGGCTATGCATGCCCATAAAAGTAAAGAAAATCATGTATTCTAATACAAAAATGTAAAATGGACATTGTCAATTTGAAATCTAGGCATAAATATTTTTTTTTTTTAAAGTTGAGTAGTTGCACATTCCATACCTGCTCCTGTCTGTCCTGCCCATTTTTGTGGTTTTATAATCACTTTTCTGCAGTTTTTTAAATTGTTTTTCAATATTAAGTTTTTCTTCTTCCCTCTTGTGGTGTGAAAGATTCACGCATGCCCAAGAACCCCACTCGCCAATGAAAGCTGACTACACAGGGAACTGTCGAAGAAAATGCTGTCAAATGCACAAAAGAAAGTGAAATACAGAAACGATTTTTCCCTTAAATCTTTCAAGTTTCTGTAATCTTAGCTGTGTTGTGCGACAGCAGCAAGCAAACATTCTTCAGACAGAACTCTGATTTTTAAAGAAATCTGATGTTCCTTTAAAGGAGAGTTGTATTCTAAAACTTTGAAAAGACTTCATTCAGTGCCATGACCTCAATCCAAAATCCACGGTGGTGACACAAAAACTACTAGCTTCTGTATAGTGATCTACTTCTGGATTCTCCAGATAACTAGTGAAAAGGTAGCTGGAATTTAAGATACTTCAATATCAGAAGAACAGCAGGAGCTGAAAAGGCAGTTTCGTCCCACATTCAAGGAAACAAAACTGTGCCATTTCCTCCAACAGCACAACAAATATCAATTAACCAGAAGAGCAAACTAGAATGGCTAGGCAGACAGCAAATTGCATATACTGCTCCTGAAAGAGTAAATAGTACACACATCCTCTTTCTCATCCTGTCTCCCTTGTCATTGCCCCAACCCCCTTTGTTTCATCAACCATTAAGTCTTGTGTTTATCTTGTAAGTTCTTTGGGGTAGGGATGGTCATTTTTTATATATTTGTACAGTGCCTAATAGAATGTGACCCAACCTAATTGTTATTGCAGTACAAATGTGTAATAAAGAGAAAAGGACTGGTTCTCCAATTGTTTTCTGCCTCCTTGCTCACTACAATGCATACCAACTGCAAGATCCTGTTCCATGTAAGTTAAGTTCTACCACACTGTCTTGTACTTTAATATTTACTGCATGCTCTAACTATGTATTTGGGAGTTCATGAAATATCACCATTCTTTGGAAAGCATATATGCATTGTCTCTGTGGGACCACTGCATGTCCAACTTCCAAACCGAAGTTTTCAAAAGTCATGAGTCAGGCACCAAAGCAGCACAAGAAACTTACTGTCAAGCCACTATTTTGAGGAAGTAAACTGTTGAAATTTTTTTTTTTAAAGTCTTACTTGAAAAGTGAAAACTCAGCTACAAAAAGCCACAAAAGGAGATGCACCCCGCAAACAAAACGTCAACAAAAATTTCACAGCTCCCATGGAACTCTACTGAACCTTGCAGTTTGTTCTGCAGGGCTGACAGCAAAGTCTTTGCATACAACAGCATTTTTCTAAAGGTTTTCCTTCTCTGCAGCTCCACTGGTGGTGGCTATGATTGTAGCACTAAAGTCGTCAAGACACAAAGGGCTGCCACTATTTTAGCCACTTGAACACCTAGATCTGTCATGAGTTGGGTTACATGAAATGCCTAAAAATCTAGAAATGGGTCTACCACTGGTGGAGCTGCATAATTGGTAATGCAACAGGGAATCTTTAGAAATCTGCTATTGGAGGCGGAATCTCTGACAATTGAATTAAAACTAACCATGTCTGATAATCAACAGAGTGCTTGGTTCTTTAGTTTGTGTCTTGAAGACAGTCCCTGCCTAAGAATCATCTTGTCAAAGGTACTGATGACAGAACACATGCAGAAACCAAGAGACAATTAGTTGGGGGGGGGGGGGGGGAGAAGAAGAGAATGGGATAGAAGGGGGAGGATGTAGATGTATAATTCACTTATGGACATCAGGATAAAAATGACTCTCTAGGAGGGACTTGGAGAAAATTAATGTGATGGCTTGCCAAGACATGACTGGGAGAATATTACTGTATAAATCCATATTTATCAAAGAAACCTCACTCATTTCAAAGCGACCTGGGTGTCAAAAATGTAGATGGAAAGTCATTATAGTAAATCTGTATTTCAAATTAAATGGAGGATTTACACAGTCTTATTGAGTCATATTTTCTGCCTCTGTTCCATACGTGCAGCACATTTTAAAGCATTAGAATAGACTTGAGTGGACAAAAATTTGAAATTCAAATCAAAATTGGCAACCATTCACCATTATTTGATCTAACAGTTTTATTAAAAACTTGTTTAGCAAGACACTGTGGGTGATATTCACACATAGCGCAAGATAAATTCAATGGAGCAGTACTTACTTGCACCGTAGCTGAATTCAATTCAACAAAAGTTTACTACCACCAAGTTACATCCTTGGGGAAATAAGGACATTTTACTATGAAGGGGTAAATACACTTCCCTTTTCACTTTCTCCTTACCATTCATGATTTTATACACCTCTATCATATTTCCCTTTAGTTGTCTCTTTTCTACGATGAACAGTTTTAATCTCTCCTCATATGAAAGCTATTCCAGACCCTTAATCATTTTTATTGCCCTTCGCTGCACCTTTTCCCAATATAGACCTTTTTTTACATGGGGTGACAGAACTGTACACGGTATTCAAGGTGTGGGCATAGATTTATACAGTGGTATTATGACATTTATTTATCCCTTTTCTAATAGTTCCTAATATTCTTAGCTTAAAAAAAAAAAAAAACACAGCTTCTACAGATTGAAAGGATGTTTTCAGAGAACTAGCCATCATGACT